ATGCAGGTTATTTCACCTAATGTTTTAAAAGGCGAGGGCGTGAGGCGAGGCGTTTTACCTCTGACGAGGCGAGGCGTATGACCTGAGACATGAGGCGTAAGTCCCACGAATCTTTAAATTTTACTAATTTCATAAATTTTAAGATAGTATAAAATAAAAAATAATTATAAAAATTACATTAAAATCACAAAATTATAAAAAATAATCTATTTAAAATATTTCTAAATTATAATTCAATTATGAATAATACGAAAAGTATGACATATTTCACAATATGCAAATTAGCTGCAACATCGGTACAATTCAAACATCAAAAGTATTGTATTCGATACGAAATCTTATATGTATCTCTTAAGGAGTAATGAATCTTGAAAGAATTTCGATATTATAATTTGATTTTTTTAAAAACACTCCTTTTATTTTATATATTTTCTGTTTGAAAGAGAATTTACATACAAACATAATTCACAATTTAAATATAATTCTGTAGCATCATTTATTTTTAAGTTTCAACAAATTAATAAAGTGACACATGTGAATTGTAATCATGCAAGCATGCTATGATAGCAATTCTATCCTATGATCACTTAATATAAAACTTTGTAATCCCTACTTTGCCTGATGTTAATATTATGATTAAACAACTAATCTTTTCTTTTTCCCTTTGAAGGCTGAATTTATTTGTATTAACTTTTCACCTCCCCGGCTCTACCTTTAATGTAAACCTTTTGGCTTTACAGTTACCCTGTATGTGTATTTATATACAGGTTTTTCACCCAGTGTCTTGTAACTACGGAGAAATAAGGAGAGACCAAAAAACAGCCGATCACCAAATGGTACCAATATCTCTCTTTCTTTTGCTCTATGATCTATGCCTATATATGTATCTCTCTTTCTTTTGCTCTATGATCTATGCCTATACTGCCAACTAGAGGTGGCAAAATGGTTGAAACAAAATAGTTAACCACCCATATTATCCGCTAAAAAATGGGTTGGATAATGAATTTTTTAAAAACGGGTCAAATATGGATAAGAACCATATTATTCATTTAGAAAATGGATAACCTATGAGTAACCAATGAATAACCAATGGGTCTAACTTTTACATTTGTAAAGCCTCAAATTAGGGGTTCCTCAAGTTAGGGAGACTAAGAATTTTCCTAAAAGTGATCAATATACAAGAAGTCATGGATAATATGGGTAACCCATATTATCCACCGTTTAACCTGTTTTTTATCCGTATTAAATATGGATCGGGTCGGATAATTGATCCATTTTTTCATTACCTGTTTTTGACCCGAACCATATCCGACCTGACCCGCCCGTTTGCCACTCCTACTGCCAACTTTAGTAAAGGAACTCAAGGCTGTAAAAATTGAGCCAAATGAATCTATAGTTGAAAAAATTGAAGTCAATGAGGTACGTTCTACTTTAATTTTCTTCTCATGAATATGAACACCACCCACAGCAACAACAAACCATGTGTAATAGGGTTCGGAGAGGGTAGAGTGTGCGCAGACCTTATTCCTATCTTGTGAAGGTAGTGAGGCTGTTTCTAAAAGTCTCCTGGCTTAAAAGAAAAAAAGGAAAAAGAAGCAGAAATAACAATTGGAACAGCAGTGAAATTGGTGATAAAGTGATACAGAAATAGAATAATCGAAGAAACCGAACCAACGAGTAGTAAAAGAAATATGCAGGCAAGCAGATACAGACATACAAGACTAATTAATACTAATACCGGCATGAAAAGGAGACGCACCCGCCTATAGGCTAACCTTCTACCTTAATCCTCAACTTTCAGGCCCTCCTATCAAAGGTCATGTCCTCAGTAAGCTTGTTCTGCTCCATGTTTTGCCTAATCACCTCTCCCCATGATTTCTTAGGCCATATGAATATGAACACCATATATATCATGATGTACATTTACTTTCCCTGCGTTTTTAACATCACATTACTAACAGAAAATGGATGTGACCATGAAGGCTATTCAACTGCGATGCCCTGGACCATGGGGAGGATGTGGTGGAGAAGTTTGGGACGACGGAGTTTTTTCTAATGTCAAACAAGTGCGTGTTTGTTTGGACTCATTTAACTCAGACATATGTGGATTGCAAGTTACATATGAAAAGAAAAACAGAACATCATTTAGGTCACAACTCCACGACGGCCCTGGTCATCATGTTGTATCGCATCACACATTAAGTTTTGAGGTATGTATTAGTTTTCACTTCTTTTTTCATTGATAAGAATCTACTTATTGGATATATAAGTTTCATATAGTCGATCTGAAGATCTAATAGAGTAAACCACTTTGTCAATCTGAATATATTGTGCAGATAAATGGTCACGAAAATGAGTTCTTGATTGCTGTGGAAGTTTTTATAGTCCAATCGAAGCAGCAGGCGGGCTAGACGTTATAAGGCAGATTACATTTTATACAAACAAGAGAAAATATGGCCCCTATGGGAGTGAAATCGGAACTTATTTTAGCTCTGGTGCAGCTAGAGGAAAGATTGTTGGTTTTCATGGGAGAAGTGGTGTTTACTTGTATGCCATTGGTGTGCACATGGAGTATTTCTAATTTCTTGTAATGTAGAACTTCAATATGAAGTTTAGATGCATGTTTAATTATGCTTGTGATATTGGCGGGATTGGCTTATCTTATCTATAATGGATTTGTTATCGAACATACAATTTATTATCTGTAGACCTTTTATCCCATGAATTTGGAGAGATAAAATTTGGGAAAAAATATCCTTAGTGAAACACATATCTAGTATAATTTGTTGGATTATGAAGCTTATTATGCGTACAGATACAACATATTGTGCTGCAATTCAAACTTCAAAGACACCTTGTAGTTAAAACTCTAACATAATATGCTCGAATATACATACATGGTGTTTCGAACTCCAACATATTATGCTGGAATTCTATATGTAAACAGTTCAAATTCCAATATATTATGTTGGAACTTTTTCAGATTTTAACTTAGGAGTATTTTTGTTCAAATGTTATTACTGCATGGAAAAATAACTAAATTTTAAGACAATCGCTAATTTTTAACTACCAATTATAAATCAGGCTATTTTTGAATTTTACGCTGTGAAATGCTTTTGCATATTAACGAATAAGGGTGTGTTCGATATGAAGAAAAATATTTTCCTAGAAAATGTTTTCATGGAAAATGAGTGGTTTTATTACTTATTTTCTCTTATTTGGTTGGCGAGTGGAAAACTTTTTCTGGAAATTTTTTTCTAGTGTTTGATTAGAGAGTAGAAAATATTTTTTTAGGAATTTTTTTTATGCTACTCTCTCACCCCTCATACCCCAAGTCCCCATGTTTCCTTGCTCACCCCCTCCCCCTTCTGCCCCTCCCCTCCTCCGAAATACCCAACGTTTTCAGGACTTTATTTTTTTCAAGAATTTAATTATTTTTTTAAAAGCTAACACAAACCCAAAGGAACTAATGTGTTTGCTTTATTTTTCTCCGCAAAAATAACGTTAAAATTTGTGCTTTATAACTAAAAAAATTACTTTTTTTTTTTGTCAAAAAAGAAAGTACTCTTTCCACTACATGAAAATAAAGTACTCATTTTACTGAAATAAAGAAAATACTTTTTCTACATTATGAAAAGAAAATACTTATTTTGTTGAAATTAAAAAAAAAAAAAACCTTTTTTACATCATGAAAAGAAAATACTTTTTTTGTTGAAATGAAAGAGATTTTTTTTTCTATGAAAAGAACTTTTTANAAATAAATACTTTTTATATCATGTAAAAAAATATTCATTTATTGAAATGCAAAAAAAAAATCTATCTATAAAATGAAAAGAAAGTAGTATTAATAATATTTTTATTTAGGGTCGGGGTGTGGGAGTGTGGGGTGGGGATGGATGTTTAACCAAAAATAAGGATTTTGGTCAAAGCTTTATTTTAGAAGAACTCGGGTTACTGATAATTAAATATATAATGAATAAAAGAAATTGACTTCAATAAGCAGAAGAAAGCAAAATAAAT